GGGGGGGGGGGGGGGGGGGGGGGGGGGGGGGGGGGGCAGGATTGAGCTTCCCAGGGAGCGGCCATTTAGGTCTCAGTGCATACGCGTGTTTTGTTTGTTTTTACTTTTTGTTTGGTTACGGAGACACAGTGGGGAAAAGTTGATCTAGAACCTCCCAACTTCTTCATCTTGCGTTTGGAAAGAAGGGAAAGGGGGTTCCATGTCTGTCTCCTAACCCCAGAATTTGTGCTTGTATACTGTAGAATTACATCAACAAAATTCTCTAAAGTACCCTTTAGTCATAAAGTGCCTGATTACTCTAGATGCAGTAGGATAGTGGAAAGGTTTATTATTTCATGTTCCAACAAACATTTGTTGAGCACCTACTGTATAATAGGCTGTAGGTGTGAGGAATCTAAAATGAACACAACCCTACCCTTACAGGACTTAGAAACTGGGGGAGTCAGTAAAGATCATGAGTAAAATTAATGTTCCGAGAGGCCGTCTCCAATCTTCTGACTTAGAAGTTGACAGAATTCTTTTTTTAAATTAAAACATGTTTTAATGTTTATTATTTTTGAGACAGGGAGAGAGAAACAGAGTGTGAGCGGGGAAGGGGCAGAGAGAGAGGGAGACGCAGAATCTGAAGCAGCCTCCAGGCTCCGAGCTGTCAGCACAGAGCCCTAGCTGGGGGCTCGAACTTGCTAACTGCGAAATCATGACCTGAGCCGAAGTCGGATGCTTAACCAGCTGAACCTTCCAGGCCCCCAAAGTTGACAGAATTCTATTTCAATCTCGCTGTCATTTTAGATCATGTGTGTGAGAGGATGAATATTAGTTTGCTGTCAGGGAGACTTTTGATATAGGAAAGGTGATAAGAATTTTTGATATGTAAGTGATAAATAACCTTATTAGTATTTTTTTTTTTTTTGTGGGACATTCTTAACGATAAGTAGTATTGAATGCACCTGGATTTCTAGGTACAGAAATGGAAAGGTATCTACGATTTTTTGTTGTTGTTAAAATTACATCTATTTGTATATACATAGAAAAATGTACGGTAGCGAGTAGAAGGATAATGAGAAAAAGGACTTTCATGTTCTACTTTTTACACTTAAAAAAAATTGTACTTTTTACCTACACTAAAGTGCACAAATCTCGAAAGTAAAGCTTGATGAATTTTTATGTGTTTATACACCCATGTAGCCACCATTTGGGTCAAATCGTAGAATTTCCATTTCCAGCATTCTAGAAGGTTCCTTGCAGTACCTGGAGTAATCACTCCATGGAGGTGACCACTGTAGTGATTTCTAACACCACAGATTAGTTTTGCTTGTTTTTGAGTTTCATATAAATGGAATCCTGCTTTGTTCATTTTTATATTTGAATGTTTTAACAATAGTAACATGTATTTTGTAATAAAATGGAATATCGTGAGAGGCTATTAACTCTTTTTTAAATCAAAAATGACCTGATTACTCCAAATACTGTAAAATAAGGGAAAAATTTTATAATTTCACTACGTCACTACATATTTATTGAGCAATTGAATGTATACCTGAAAATACTTTTCTTCTAAAATTCAGGCTGGCAGTAAATCCCAGATGTGGGCAAACACTATTTTATGGATGTTCAGGAGACACTTATATGGGTGGTTTTTGTGCAGTCAGGAGATAAATGATATAATTCATTTTAGTTTGTATCAAGAGTTAAGAAGGAAAACTATTTAGACCACAAATCTGGACACAAGAGAATGGCCAGGTAAGCTTACCAGTTAGAGGCCAAAGCCGTGAGCCCAGTATTAGTGTGAACTTCTCTTTGTTGCAAGACCATGGTGTGCCCTCCTGATCCTTCATAGATATAAAGGGAATTAGGAAGAAGATAGATTAGAAAAAAATGTATTAACTATCTTGGAGAAAAGAAAAAGTGCTGTATAAAGAAGATTGTCATCATCACCATTTATAATTACTTACAAAATGATGCTTCTAACATACAGTAGTACTGGTTTGCAACCCTGGCTCAAGAGGCTGCATTATCTTTGTGTTGATGACCTATTATGAACCATATGTAGTACTATATGCCATCTACTGTGGGTTGCTGGTAGAAAATGAAGAAGACACAGTCCTTATCTTTAGTGTTTTGTTAACTTGTGTGGCTTCTGCATCAGTCAGGCCAGTCTTACTTGGAATTGTCCCCTTTTACCTCCATGGCTCAGACTCCCTTTTCTTTTGACCCGTGTTTTTCATTCCCACCTCCTGCAAGAATCACGTGTTTCCAAATCCCACCCATCTTTAAGGGACAAATTGAGTTCTCTTTTTCTCTGTAAGTCTTATTATATTATCTCCAAGTTATTTCTTCCCTGCTGGATACCAGTTATCAGGCATTGATTATAGTTTGGACTTGTGTCCTGATGACTCCTAGTAAATGTTAGTTTTACCATCCGTCAGCTCCTGAGTAAGGGTGGTGCCTTATACACCTTCGTATACCATTCACAGGGCTCAGCAACTTGTAGTTTGACCAAAAGCACATGCTGCTGAAGACACGGTTTCCTTTCTCCAAGATACAGCTTCTTTAAAGGAAGATAGTCACATCTGATACATGCACTTGTAACACCCAAAGGCTTATGCAGGGAAAAATCTATCCCTTGTTTTCTTACTGTTCTGTAATTGCAGGGGGATTCAGAGTTGAACTGTGATAGTTTTGAGGTATCAGAAGTTTGCTGGAAGTATGAAGCTTTCAGACCACTGGTATCAACAAATCACTCCACTGCTCTGTGCCCTTCGTTGCTGGAAAGTACTGCTTAGATTTAGCCTGGCATGAAAAGCCCTGAATAATTAATTTCAACATGACCTCCATCGTTACGGATTGAGCTCTTTGCCCAGCAAGGCTAGCTTATTAGTTGCCTGCTGAAAGACTGTTCTGCTTATTCTTTTCTTGGCTTATGTCCGAGATATTCCTTCCCCATAGGGAGCACCTTACTTGCTTGTTCTCCACCTTTTACATCCATTCTTTAAGCTTAGGCCAAGTACACTCCTTTCTAGCCCAATGGTAATCATGCTTTCTCATGGACTTTTGTGATACCTATGTCTCCAGTACTCATAAGACACTTAATTAGTTCTTGACTTGTATTATTTAACTTTCTAGGGGTGTATAGTCTGCTTCCTTGAAGAGATTATGTACTCAGGAGAGGGACTTTTTCCACTTATGGGGAAGGAGCTTATATTTCAGAGTCACATAGATGTGTGATTTGAATCCTGTTAGAGTGACCTTAGACGTTAATTATGCTCTCCAAGTCCCAGTTTACTCATCTATATTCTGGGAGCCTTAACATCAGCCTTGTAGGACTGTAGAACTGTCTTATGTGAGATAAGAGATGTAGAATGCTTGACTTATTGTGGGTCTCCAACACATAGTAATTCTCTCCTTCACTTTCTCCCTTCATATTTGTCCTGGAGTCTAACAAATGTTTTACAAGAATGAAAGTGGTTTTTCTTCCCCTCGTATCCTATTCCTTTTTTATATTTGCTCCAAGTTCTGAATTCTAAGTCCCCATACAAAAAGTATATAAAATGATAAATGTATGTGTTTAAGATTATTAGATTATCTATTATTTAATAATAGATAATTATTATTAGATTGCTCTCCCTTTGTTCTGTATTGAAGTACCTCATACTTCTAAATGAGCTTGTGAGCATTTACATGTTTCTCAACTGACTACATTGTCAGTTTTAGTCCATGTACTGTTAAAAGCATACCTGGAGGGGTGCCTGGGTTGCTCAATAGGCGTCTGACTTTGTCTCAGGTCATGATCTCACTGTTCGTGGGTTCAAGACCCGCGTCAGGTTCTGTGCTGATAGCTCAGAGCCTGGAGCCTGCTTTGGATTCTTTGTCTTCCTCTCTCTCTGCCCTTCCCCTGTTAGCATCTGTTTCTCTCAAAAATAAACATTAAAAAAAAAAAGCGTATCTGGAGGGTCTAGAATCTGATATATATATGTGTGTGTGTGTGTGTGTGTGTGTGTATACACACACACACACAGTCATTAAGTGTTTGCTTTCAGGGAAGGAATATTGCCTATATCCTGATACAGCTCTTGAACTAATGGACACTTCTAGCTACCGTAGCTCACATTATTTCCTTATTAGGAGTTAAGATGTATAATTTGATTTTTTTTTTTTCTCCCCATGAAGTTCAAACTGATTTTGACCAATCTGGATAAAGCACTTGCTTCTGGACTTCAGATGACAGCTATGGTGGAATACCATCCTGATAAGGATGAAGACACTTATGACCAACTACTTATTTCAATAGGAAATAAAATAATAAAGATCCCTCTACTTGGGTACGTATTCTCCATATTTCATGCTGACATTTTCAGCACTCTTCACATAAAAATAAGGGTCAAAGTAATATAATATTCTGTATTTTCTCTGGCTAAGATTTCTTTTTGTATCTATAGTGTCCTTATAGCTGAACTTAATGGTCAGATTTTTAGCAAATGGGTGTTCAAAAAATGGAAGGCTGGTTTTCTGGTATTTTAAAATTTATTTATTTTTTTTAATTTTTTTTTTTTTCAACGTTTATTTATTTTTGGGACAGAGAGAGACAGAGCATGAACGGGGGAGGGGCAGAGAGAGAGGGAGACACAGAATCGGAAACAGGCTCCAGTCTCTGAGCCATCAGCCCAGAGCCTGACGCGGGGCTCGAACTCACGGACCGCGAGATCGTGGCCTGGCTGAAGTCGGACACTTAACCGACTGCGCCACCCAGGCGCCCCATGGTATTTTTAATTAAAATAAAAACGTTCAACAATTGCATGTATTCCCTCTTTTTCCCTTGACTTACATCCTGTTTTATTTTGACCGTGTTTTTTTTTTTATACCTTTTGAGAGTAAAATTTTTTTTATATTTTATTTATTATAATTTTTAAAAATTTACATCTAAGTAGATTAACATATGGTATACTAATGATTTCAGGAATAGAATTTAGTGATTCATCACTTGTGTATAATTTTCAATGCTCCTCCCAACAAGTCTCCTTAACGCCCCGTGCCCATTTAGCCCATCCCCCCACCCAAAACCCCTCCAGCAGCCCTCAGTTTGTCCTCTGTATTTAAGAGTTAACTTATAATTTTTTTAATGTATATTTATTTTTGAGAGAGAGATTGAGAGAGAGAGACAGAGCACAAGCAGGGGAGGGCAGAGAGAGAGGGAGACACAGAATCCAAAGCAGGCTCCAGGCTCTGGGCTGTCGGCACAGAGCCTGATGCTGGGCTTGAACGCACAAACTGTGAGATCAAGACCTGAGCCCAAGTCGGATGCTTAATCTACTGAGCCACCCAGGCGCCCCTTAAAGTATTTTTTTTAATTGATAGACATGCATGTGTGGATCCTCCTTTTCCTTAGCAAAATGTGCTTCCATAGATGTCATTCTTTTGTCTCTGTCTACCATCTGTAGAATTAATATTGGAATGTTAATACTGGCATTAGATATGTCTTTTTATAAGTTCCCTTGTGTGTTTTTTTATTTTCATAAACCAAATTTAGATCTGCAGTTATTTTAGTTCTCCATGTTGTTGAGAAGTTCTGATGTAGCCAAGCATCGCGTTCTGTATAGAAATCAGTTAACATATTGTCAGGAAAGGAATGTTATTAGCCTATTAAAAATACTTACTTTACATTTTATAATTTATTTTAGGTAAGGCCATTTTTGGTCCATTCTGCACATTGATGTAACTATGAGTTTCAGTGAGATTTGCTTGCTTGTACTATATAGGGAGAAAAGAGTTGAAGATGCTTCTGCCTTTGAAAACAGGAATTTTGTCTTGTCCTCGTAATGTATGCTTTCTCTCATCTGAGTTTGGCTGCTCATCACAGCTACAGCATAAGGAAAACACTGTCCCCTTAAACTATGATGGAAAGGGCTGAAGGAGGATGGGCGTGTGTGTATCTGTGTGTGTGTATGTGTGTGTTAAGTTTTTAAGTTTTTAAGTTCTATACAATTCTATTACCTGTATAGGTTTTTATATCCACCACCATAGTCCAGATATTCAGCACTGGTAATACGACAAGGATTTCTCCTGTTACTTTTTTTAAAAAAAAAAGGTTATTTATTTATTTTTTGAGAGTGATAGGGTGGGAAGAGGCAGAGAGGGAGAGAGAATCCCAAGCAGGCTCTGCACTGTCAGCACAGAGCCTGATGTGGGGCTCCATCCCACTAACTGTGAGATCATGACCTGAGCCAAAATCAAGAGTCGGTTGCTTAACCTACTGGGCCACTCAGGCGCCCATCTCCTGTTACTTTTTTATACCCATACCCACCTTCCTTCTGCTTCACACCTACAATCCCTGAACTGTTCAAACCAGTAATCTGTCTTCCATTTCTAAAATTTTGTCATGTCATGTCTTCCATGGTATGCGTATACCACAGTTTGTTTAACCTTTGGCCTGATGAAGGATATCAGGCAGATGCCATGATACATTACAAATACAGCTGCTATGAACATTCTTTGCTTGTCTCTTGCACCATTTCTAGAGTTTATAGTTGCATTTAGTGGGGACGAATATGGAAAAATAGATTTATGAAATCTTGTCTGGAAACCAGAAGTTTGGATTCTCTGCCCTTTCAGAAGTACTTTAGCAGAAATGATATAATCAGTGATTGTGAGCACTTGTTTTTTCATCCCTCTTGCACATTTAAAAATGGCTGAGAGTTTTAGTCATGAGCTTGAATAGTTGCAAAGATGTAATCACTTACACATAACAAATATTACTATAATTACATGCTTCTTTCAAATGTATCCAGTAGAGTGGAAATACCATAGTAATTTAACAGTTGAAAGATTTACCTCATCTTTTTTTCCCCTCAGATTTGTATTTTCATTCCATTTCTAACTATAGCATCATATCCTAATGTATTATTTGTTCAGTATGTTTACAAATATGTATATAAGTAGATTTACTCCAATCATAAATCTATACATGTTTTTAGAATTTCTTATGAATTATATTACTATAAATTTAACTCCATATATAAATTACCAAGTTTGGTACTTCATTTTTTTCCTTTTTTAAAATTGAGATATAATTGATAAAGAACTTTGTGTAAGTTTAAGCTGTACACGGTGTTGATTTGGTGCATTTATATATTGCAATGTGATTACTAGTGTGGTGTTAGCTAACACCTCCATCAGATCACATAATTATCATTTCATTTTGTTGTGAGAACATTTAAGATATCGTCTCTTAGCAGCTTTCAAATACATAATGCAGTGTTGTTAACTCTAATCACAAGGCTGGGCATGAGATCTTCAGAACCAATTCATCTTCTAAGTGCATATTTTGACCAACCACTTACCAATTTTCCCACCCCCAGCTCCTGGTAACTACCATTCTCCTGTTTGTTAACATAAACTGTCTGTAACATAAAAAGAAAAATGTTATTGCAAATACTTTTCTTAGTCAGGTGGAAGAGAAACCAATAGGAAAGCCAGAAAAACTGTTATGTATTATATTACTCTATTACCAAGCCCTTACTACTAAGGTAACCCATATATATGTGTGCATACATATGTGTGTATAATTTATATATATATATATAATGTATATATGTGTATGTGTACATATGTGTGTGCGTGTGTGAGTAGACTCTTAAGAAATTTTATTTTTTTAAATGTTTATTGTTGAGAGAGAGCAAGTGTGCACGAGAGCAGGGGAGGGGCAGAGAGAGAGCAGGACAGAGGATCTGAGGCAGACTCTGTGCTGACAGCAGAGAGCCCAATGCAGGGCTCAAACTCAATGAGCCCTGAGATCTACCTAAGCCGAAGTTGGACACTTAACCGACTAAGCCACCCAGGTGCCCCAAGAAATTATTATTTAAAAAAATTTTTTAAATGTGTATTTATTTTTGAAAGACAGAGACAGCGCACAAGCAGGGGAGGGGCAGAGAGAGGGAGTCACAGAATCCAAAGCAGGCTCCAGGCTCTGAGCTGTCAGCACAGCTGACACCACCCAGACTGAGCCACCCAGCCACCCCCTTCTAAGAAATTATTATTATTATTATTTTTTAACTTTAAAGAAATTTTTATTACACAAAGGTTGTCACATAATTGGATATTTCTCTACTTTGTATACAATTACTCTCCACAGAAAGGCTGCTTCTTAACTTTTCATCTGGTGATGGCAAGCACTAAAATCCTTATTTTAACAGAATAGTAGTAAAAATACCTCAGTATTTAAGTTGAAAGCAGTACAATGGTACATGGCTCTTGCATTCAGTTATCAGGAATGTACAAATGTCTTTTTATTCACAAATACAAAATAAATTATCTGTAGGCATGGACAATGACAGCAGTAAACCATTATATGTTGTCAACTGAACCCAGTAACTGATGGTTATAGTGATTTTCTTGAACATCAGCCAGGCTTTTCTTCATTCATTTCCTTCAACTGACTTCTCTGAAGTTATTCTTGAGGAGCACTGCCTTGAACTTCCTGTCACAGTTCATTAACAATGGTAAAGTGCTATTCTAGGAATTAGAACATTGCCACCTCCCATACCACCTCCATTCCACCCATTCCAGGGTCCTTCTCTTCCTTAGGAATTTCGGTGACTACAACTTCTGCTGTAGTTAACAGAGAGGCCACGCCAGCAGCATCCAGTAAAGCAGTTCTTATGACCTTAGTTGGATCAGTGATTCCCTTTTCTACCATATTCACAAAATCTCCATAGCATCATAACCAACTTCTGAGGAACTCAACATAATTTTCTCAACTGTCAGTGATCCTTCAACACCTGCATTCTTAGCAATGGTCATTGCAGGAATTTTGAGTGTTCTCTTAATGATTTATATACCAATTTTTTCATCTTCATTAGTTGGAGTTATCGAATCCAAGGCTGGAATGCACCAAAGCAGAGCACAACCCCCTCCCAGAACAATGCCTTCTTCAACAGCAGCTCGGGTAGCATTGAGGACATCTGTAACTCTTTCTTTTCATTCACTTCAACATCACTTGTGCCACCAACCTTCAGCACAGCTACTCCATCTGAGAGTTTTGCCAGATGTTTATTCAGTTTTTCCTTTTCATATTCACTAGTTTTGATATCTAACTGTTCAGTAATTTCTTGGATACTTTTTCAGTGGAAATCAGGAGAGGTGTGATGTTAGCTGTTGATGCTGTAATTGCTGAACTTAAGAAGCAGTCTAAACCTGTGACGACCCCTGGAGAAATTGCTCAGGTTGCTACCATTTCTACAAATGGAGACAAAGAAATTGGCAACATCATTTCTGATACAGTGAAAAAGGTTGGAAGAAAAGGTGTTATCACAGTAAAGGATGGAAAAACACTAAATGATGAAATAAAAATTATTGAAGGCATGAAGTTTGATCGAGGTTATATTTCTCCATACTTTATTAATACATCGAAAGGGCAGAAATGTGAATTCCAAGATGCCTATGTTCTGTTGAGTGAAACGGAAATTTCTAGTGTCTGGTCCGTTGTACCTGTTCTTGAAATTGCCAATGCTCACCCTAAACCCTTGGTCATAATTGCTGAAGATGTTGGTGGAGAAGCTCTGAGTACACTTGTTTTGAATAGGCTAAAAGTTGGTCTTCAGGTTGTAGCCGTCAAAGCTCCAGGTTTTGGTGACAATAGAAAGAACCAGCTTAAAGATAGGGCTATTGCTACTGGTGGTTCAGTGTTCAGAGAAGAATGGTTGACTCTGAATCTTGAAGATGTTCAGCCTCAGGACTTAGGAAAAGTTGGAGAGGTCATTGTGACTAAAGATGATGCCATGCTCTTAAAAGGAAAAGGTGACAAGGCTCAAATTGAAAAACGTATCCAAGAAATTATTTTTAAGATACGTTTCTGAACCCAGCTAGAGAAATAGTTTGAACGAATGTTCGCCTTCATATCTTATATTGTTTGTGTAATGAGTGCCTCTTTTAGATCCTTTAAACTCTGTTAATGCAATTACGTACACTGAGGTCATTGATCTTCCCTTTTCCTGTTACAAAATTACAACGTCTTCATGAGAAGAACATGGGTATTCCTTAAAGAAGCAGCATATACAGGATAGTCCTGGCTGATCTCTGGAATGTCTCTATATATCCAATAATACACAAACACTCCCATATAAACATACATCTCAGAAAGAAGGCCCAGACCACCAGTGCATAAAGCAGTATTTGTGAATGTTTTATTCAGGTATTCTTACTTATGTCTTTGTGCATGTGTCTGTATGTATTTATATTTTGGAAGTTATATCCTATATGGAGTAAATTACTTAATTCATGTGTCTGGTACATAACCTAAGGACTCAGTAGAGATCAGTTATTACTATATTTATTATTGGCACTGTTATCATTGTTAGGTTCGTAAGGGTAATGCACTTAAAATCTAACAAAATCAAGGCTAAGTTCACCAATGTTATATACAAATAATTTCTCAGATAAATCATTGAGGCTTTGGAAGTGTTTGGCTTTTCATCTATAACATAGGAGCCATAATAATATTTGTTTCCTTTTAATGCAGTTTTTAGTATCAAACAAGATAATATACTTGTTAATAAATTATAAATTTTCCATATATAAAATATATGTATCCTTGTGAGATGTGCATATAGAATTACAGTGGATTTTTAAAATGTGTAGGCAACGTGTTATAGATATGCTACAGTGAGCCCTTTTAGTTAGAGACACAGGTGAAAAATCTATTGTATCTTTTTGTGCTTAGATCTTGTTTTAGTCCCCAAATGATATTTTATAGCATAACACCTTCTTTTATTTCATCAGATTTGGCATCATCTGAACTATTTTACTTTGTAAAGATCAATTCCCCCCCTTTCTGAGGAGGGGCCAAAGAATGTATTATAGGCTTAGGTGGAGATTCCAAAAATGTTTTGAGTGGCAAAAAATATTGAGATATGTGGGTAGCCTTTCAAGGTGAGTACTTAAGAGGGTGTACTATGTCCTTAGATGCATAAAGTCTGATCTCTTTGTTAAAAATGTATCTCATTATCTTGTTTTCATGTCTTTATTTCAGTTCCTTTTACTGACAAATATGCCATCAACAGACTTTTAAGGAAATGTAAATGTCTTACAAGGAATTACTATAAAAGTGTCTATATATGTCCCCCTGTAGATTTAAGTATGAAGTTATAATTGTTAATTATGTTGTCCTCTTTTCTCCTCTCCTAGGTTGATTCCAGCCTGTCAATTGGAAATTGAGTCAGAAGTTAATTTTGGCACATTGGTTGCCAATAGCAAAGTATATTGTAAAGAGATTAATATCATTAATCATGGCAGAGCTCCAGGTAAATACTTTCTGTCATATAAATTAATTTATATATATGTATATATATAATTTAATGTTCTATAAATTAATTTATAAGTTGGTATTATTTGAAATGTATACTTTGTATAATTAATGGATTCTCTTATTCATTCCTTCTCCCCGTAAGGTGTCTATCATTTGAAATAGCTCAAAACTGAAGGCCCTTAAACAGGATTACTATAAATGATAGATAATAATTCAGGAAAGATGAATCCATCTCCCTATGATTCTGATTAACAGCCTGACTCCCAGGTGACTGGTGATCTCCCTGTGGACAGAAGGCAGGATGGTGTTAAGGGCGTGACATAGTCCTTAGAGTGAGCCATCCAGGGATAGAATCAGGGCACAATGCGTTACTAGCTGTGTCATCTGGGGCAAGTATCTTTTAGGACATTGAACTTGATATTTCTCATTTATAAACTGTGGTTAATAAAATGAACTATGGTTAATTATGTATGTACTTAAGGTTTTAGTGTGGCACTTGACTTATCATATGCACTCAATACCTATTTGTTTTTTTTTTCTCTTTCGTATTCAACTTTGAATTCACATGATGGTCCCTAGAAGGCTCTTATTAACTTTTTGTTCAGAGAGTAGATGCTTTTCTCTTCTCTAGATGGGATTATTTCTCGAGATTTTTACTGTGACCTAAGAGTTTCCATAAAGGCTTGTGTGTCTGTATGTGTGTGTGTTCATGCACACTATTCATTGATGGTATAGAGTAGGTATAAAATCACTTACCCTTCATTGTCCTCATTAGATACTAAGGATCTGGGGTGGCAAGGCTTCCATTGCTGACATGAGGACCAGGTCCACATAGAGAGGGCATTTTTTTATGAGATTGCATCTTGAATACATAAAACTGGTCTTAAATCCAAACCTCTTTTACATTAAGTGAGGATATTTTCTGTGGCTGTTTTAGCAATGAGAATTATTAAAACAAAGGTAGGGGATGCCTGGGTGGCTCAGTTTGTTAAGCAACTGACTCTACGTCTCAGGTCATGATCTCACAGTTTATTAGCTCAAGCCCTGCTTTGGGCTCTGTGCAGACAGCTTGGGGCCTGCTTGGGATTCTCTGTCTCTCTTTGTCAACCCCCCCCGCCCCCCACTTGCACTGTTTCTCTCTCTTAAAATAACTAAATAAACTAAAAAAAACAATAACAAAGTCAGTTTGTCACTTTACTGATTTCTTCCTGGGGTTAAACAAATAAAACTGATCATTGTTCCTCACCGGATGTTACTTGTTTCAATTTTCCATGTGTTAATTTTTTAAATGTTTAAGTTTTGGGTGCCTGTGGGATTGTAGAATATTAGATTCGTTTGTGGTCTGACTCCAGTGTTACAGATAGAACCTCTCATGGCTAGTGATTGTGGGCTGTATGGTCCTTTAGACTCTCTGGTTATATTTTAGAGTAGTGGTATATAATTGAGAGAATTTTGTTTTTATTATTTATTTTCCAAAAATCTTTCTTGTCCATTCCAAATCCTGCAAAGTTTTGATCATACCCTTTCTTTATTATAAAATATCACCAAACTGTACATTTTTATTATGTATAAAAACCGTAAGTAACGAATATATATGGTTTTAATCTTAATATTTAGGGTGCCTGAGTGGCTCATTTGTTTGAACGTCCAACTTCAGCTCACATCACGATCTTGTGGTTTGTGAGTTAGAGCCCTGTGTCAGGCTTTGTGCTGACAGCCCAGAGCCTGGAGCCTCCTTTGGATTCACTGTCTCCCTCTCTCTCTGCCACTCCCTCACTCATTCTCTCTCTCTCTCTCTCAAAAAAAAAATTACAAAAAAATCTTAAAAGAATATTTAGTATTATTTTACTTAATAAAATAAATAAAAATAAGCCTCAGATCTAGACCCAGACATTTTAAGAAAAGTAATCCACATTAGCTTTTTAGTATTGTATTAATATTTTGTGTGTGCATATTATTTGTAGTGAATACTACATTCTGTAAGTTATATTTAAAAAATTTTTATTTTTTTATTTTTTATTTAAAATTTTTTTTTTTAACGTTTATTTATTTTTGAGACAGAGAGAGACAGAGCATGAATGGGGGAGGGTCAGAGAGAGAGAGGGAGACACAGAATCTGAAACAGGCTCCAGGCTCTGCGCTGTCAGCACAGAGCCCGACGCGGGGCTCGAACTCACAGAGCACGAGATCATGACCTGAGGTGAAGTTGGACGCTCAACCAACTGAGCCACCCAGGCGCCCCTAAAAAAATTTTTTTTAATGTTTATTTATCTTTGAGACAGAAACAGAGTGTGAGTGGGGGAGAGGCAGAGAGAGAGGGAGATACAGAATCCAAGCAGGCTCCAGGCTCTGAGCTGTTAGCACAGAGCCTGACGAGGGGCTCGAACTTGTGAACTTCGAGATTATAACCTGAGCCAAAGTCGGATGCTCAACCGATTGAGCCACCTAGGCGCCCCCATTCTATAAATTATAATTGAGTACTATGAAATGTTAATTACTATTACCTTACAAATTGTTATCAATAAAACACATTTTCTTAGTGTTGAATTTCTCATTCTCTGACTCGAATATTATTTTTCCACCATTAGCGAAATTGATTTTATGTTTTATATTCACAGTAGCAGGTTACTGTAAGGTGTCATAAAGTCCTTATTACCTACTGGCACAGTATATAAATATTCATGAGAATAACAGTGTATTTTTATGAGGAAAAACACTTAGGCAGAAAATAGATTTAGCAACCAAGGATGATTTTAATACAGTTTTTAAAAAAGGATTTTTTGTGACAAATATTTTATAGTTTTAGAGTCAAAGATCAAATGTTTATACATTTATATGCATACTTAAGAGCACATTAAAAAGCCACACTCAGCAGATTCATGGTAGGTACAGCTTTGTTTTCTCTCTCTGGTAGCGACACTGGGGTTATTAGTTGATCCATGTAACAACTTCATGATTTTTTATTTTTATAGCCCATTATGGAATAATTATCCATGGATTTAGCCAAATATTGTTGAATACATTTTGTTTTCTGGCCCTCTATAAGAATATTTGCTAAGTTTACTCCCAACTGTGCAAATTAGTGCTTGTCTTTTCATTTTGAAGACGTGGCTCTGTCTTTAAGATAAGTCTCTATTATTAGTACTTTGTGAGCTGGTGAACTCCATGTTCTGTTCTTTGGTTTTGTTGTTTCTCAGTTTTTACCTTTTAAAGAACATCATGGAAAAAGCATTATTATTTTAGCATGTGTGGAATTGCAATCATTTCCCTTTTCCCCTCAGTAAGCTTGAATATTTGCAAAGACATTTTCTACTCCCGTGGTATCATGTAGAACAGTCTTTAAAGTCCCTAGTGTGATCTTCACATACCATTTCTGTGTTTGAACAGCTACCTTAGAACTCCTCAAACTTTAGGTTTACTTGGGTTATTTTGCCCTAGCTATATGACCTTTCTGTTGCTCTTAATGCCCACTCTTCCCCTTTCCCTGATCATTAGCATCATCTCTCTACTCTCTATTGTCTAGAAAAGCCTACCATCATCTGTAAACCAGGAAATTTGCTAAATTGGACAAAGTCCAGTACTGGTCCTTGAGATCCTCCTTAACTACTCAGAGAAACACACACTACTTATTCTCAACACATATTGTTTGTTTTCTTGGAAACTGATGTCATGGAATCGCAGTATAAGTTTCTTACATAATACAATGCTGGGTATATCACAGACATTCAATAAACCTTTGTGTAATTGATTTGGTTCAGTGATCTCTCAGTATGAGTAAAGAATCGTTAATTGTATGTCAACTGTACTTGAATAAAAAAATTCTTTAAAAATAATTTGACCAGGATATTATAAAAGAAAAAAATGATTTGCCATTTTAGTACATAAAAAAACAGGGGCGTCTGGGTGGCTCAGTCGTTTAAGCATCTGACTTCGGCTCAGGTCTCGATCTCATAGTTCGTGAGTTCGAGTCCCACTTCAGGTGAGCTCAAGTCCCACTCTGGGCTCCACACTGTCTCTCTCTCTCCATCTCTGCACCTCGTGGGATTCTCTATTCCTTTCTCTCTGCCCCTCGCTCACTTGTGCTCTCTATCTCGCTCTCAAAAATAAATGAATAAATAAATAAAATAAAATAAAAATAAAAATAAACTGTTAAGCTTTCAATGAAAGGTTATTCAACTTAGAAGTAACCTGCTTAATCTCCTATGAGCATTCTGAAGAGTCTCCAAAACAGTCATCTGGAGACATGGAGACTGGTTTATCCTTGGTACGCTTAGACCCAAGGAAGCCTTAAAAAAAAAAAAAAAAAAAAAGCATACATAAGAAATAACAATGACCTTGGGTATGTGACTCTTGATTTTTGGTTAGCATCCTATAAAACTAGACTGTGTGCCCTGGCTTGATCTTAAAAATACTTTTACATGAAAATCTACTTTATAGTTTCTAAAAGTATTTTGGAAGGATAAAGGCAAGGTAACCATGTATACTTAATCACCTTCTCTAGAGAAGGTAAAGCAAGTCTCATTCAAAAAACACAGATCTGTTCAAAGGACCGTCATCTCAGTCCCAGCTGTAGGTAGTCTCGCAGGCCATGTGCTTCCCTAAATCACATCAGTGGACAAGGCTAAGTGTTTATTTTACATGACTTAAATAGCAACATTTCAGACAGTTGGCCCCTGGTGTCTTGAAAAAACAAAACAAAACACAAAAGCCAAAACTTTGGCTTCTATGGCTCCTCACTGGCTTATATAAAATGGAGGTTCAGGTTCTGGAGTGAGGTCTTCCAGGGCCCAAATCTTGCTTATAACATTTACTGGCTAGGAGGCCCTAGGCAAGTATTTACACTTCCTGGACATCCATTGTAGAGATAAACATAGTGCCTGCCTCCTACAATTGGGATGGTAATTGATAAAATACTTAGTACACTCTCCGATATATATTAAGTGTTCAATAAATGTTCGATTTTGATGTTAGAATTATTTTTTTTCCTACTGCCTCCCTTCAGTTCTCTTTTGTGGATTGCTGTCCCTTTGTTTTGGGTTCCTTAAATGTGAGTGTTTCTTAGGGTTTGCCTTAGGCCCACCCACATGTTACTTCAGTCTATACGCTCTCCCTTAGGCAATCACTCTCATTCCTGTTACCTCACTGGGCTCTATCCCACACTTTACATTTCCTTCAGGTTTCTCACACTTAACACATCTAAAACCAAACTCCTCGCCTTTCCCCCAAAACTTCTCTCTCTCTCTCTCTATCTCTTTTTCTTTTAAAAAAAAATTTTTTTTTTCAACGTTTTTATTTATTTTTGGGACAGAGAGAGACAGAGCATGAACGGGGGAGGGGCAGAGAGAGAGGGAGACACAGAACCGGAAACAGGCTCCAGGCTCCGAGCCATCAGCC